ACGAGGTTGAAATCGAAGAACACGGAGGTGAGCAAATCGGCTGAGAATCTGACCGCGAGAAAATCGAAGAGGCATCGAGAACCGGAAAGAAGGAAATCGGACATTTCGATGGAAAGGAAGGAACTGAGAGACGAGTCTACCAACACCTCGCCTTTCGGAAGTCCGGTGTTGTCCAGGTCCGAGAGCCGGAAGAGCGTGTCCGTGCAGGTGCAGACCAGCTTCGATGAAGAACTAACGGACGCGATGATTCTCGCTGAATTGGAGGGCTCCGTGGTTGGATTGTCGGAAAGTAGGAGAGATCGCGTTGCCAGAAGGTCCTTCAAGAATAGAAGATTCGTATCCAGCTGCAGGGACAAGGCCGCCGTCGACGGCGACGACGACGATGGCAACCACTCGACGGATGTTTTCTCGGTGACTAACGCGACCGCTTCCGTCGAAGCAGCGGCCACCAAGGATGCGTCGCGTTTGCTGAAAATATCCAGCTTCGAGGAGGCGGACGACGATGATTATCAAAGACTTCGAGCGATCCTCGCTGATACCGACTCGAAGGAGACGAACGGGAAGAGGTGGAAGGATTCGAAGTCGTTGTCCTCGTTCGACGACGAGGACTATTGGGACGCGGAGGATGTGAGTGCAGGAACTGGACCGATACAGTACTCGATACCGGATCCCGATCCGAACCAAGCATTCTGGGTAATGATGCAATCAATGAAACCTCCCTCTGCATATCTCTCTCGTAGAGTACTCACTTCTATTTTCTTTCCACCTTTCCACTTACACTTCAACTCGACACACACTGTGTGCCGGTCTATCCCGCTATTATTAGCATTAGGAGAAGATCCAAAGTTTTTAATAGTAACAAATTGAACGATTTGCTAGAATAATTTATTGGAATGATTAGTAACGCATTGAATAACTTGATAGAGTAGTTTGAATGGACGCGAGAAATAGATATCTCCCTTCTGATGAGATTTGAACCCTGGTTGAAATCAAAGCTGAAAGTCCCTTATTAAAACCCACCCTTCATTCTATTTATCTTGTACTTCCTCACAGTACATGGAAAGTACTTTCTAGTTTTTCATGTATGGATAATAATTGAGGAAATAATGAAGTTACTGGCGCCAAATTGATTAAATTTATAGCTCGCCGGCGCGTGGTTGCGTAACAAAGTCGCAGCTTTGACCCTCGACGAGATCAATGACGAACGTTATTGTTATTCTGAAAATCGTTAGGAAACGCTTGGAAGGTTTCAGTGTAAAAAATTGGAGAAAAACATAGTCGATGTTCGCACGAAACGGTCGGGTGCTCGCAAACTCGTTCATTGGTGCCGTGTGCCTTGCGTGGGGTCTCCCAAAATATCAATCTCATACCCGTCTGCAAATAATATACTCGTACATAGCGCTCGAGCCGAGACATTTTATACGATAGGCGACACTTTCACAGGGTTTCCCCATTTTCCAATTACATCGGAGTTCATTTTTAAGACTTCGAGTCAGGTACAGAAAATCGTACTCGAGCGTGAAGCGAAAACGAACAGGTGTTGCCAGACGTGTTTCAACCTCTCTATTAGAATTACATTACGTTTAAGACGTCGATCAGCACTGTTGTTCAAACTTCAGAAAGGTGTCACACGTTTGACCAAATTAAATTCGTACCACTGAGATCACTGTCACCACAACATTCGTCACGGTATCCCACTCTTTTTCGGGCGACCCGATTTTTTCACCCTCGTAAGATATATTTTTGATCACGCGCCTTTTCCTCTTTCCTCGCTCGATATTATGTTACCCGTCGCGATCCACAATTTCGCGTAGGCGAGATCAGATCCTCCTGTCACGGCCGATTTTCATTTTCCAGCTATTTATAAGGCGGCCGACGTTCTTTAAATAGTTCCCTGCAATTGAAAAGTCGATACACCGTACAATTATAATCTCGTTTCAACCCGTCCGCGCGAGTCCAATGAGAAATTGTATTCGACAATTTTCCAAGCGAACCGATGACGATTCGCCGAGTTTAGCTTTCGTTTTAACGCTCGAAGGCGGAACGTGGGTGGACGAAGGTATTGGTGATGTGTGAAACATTCCGACCCAATTACACCGTGGATTTCTTCTCTATTTTTCCGAGCGATTCTATTTTTCGCCCGGTTTCACCCCCCGCTCGACAAGGAACCACCTGTTTGGCACGCGATCAAGCACTTCGGACTACGTATCATGAAACTTCTCGATGATTAACGATCAAATTCCTCCCACTTCTCATTCTGATCGTTTGAAAACATCTTCTTTGTATCGTCATACCTAGAATGGTTTACAAGTACGATCATGCATACTGAAGGAATGAAAATAGTCCTTTAAGTTGGAGCATACCTTGTCACTTATAGCGTTCAATAAATTGAAGCACCTATCGAAACAGATATCCAGATGAATTTTGCAAAATATAAAAAGCTGCCTTTATTTCTGTACTGCAAAACGCGTGGGAAAAAGTTCATTGCACAGAGTTCACATTATGTCGAGCGTAGAAATAACGTGGCATTAGTTCAATAACTATTTTAACACCGGGGAATCTAATAATTTCACGAAATATCAACTGATCGAAAATACCGTCAACAAACTGTTAGGTGTAATTGAAATAGAGTAGGAAATTCCTTAGCGAGTTATTTACAAGGGAAATTTTTCAACGGAATTCTGCTAGGAGTCGATCAGAAGCTGGACAGAAATACTGCAAGCTCTGAGCCGCGTGTTTCGGCGTTTTAGGCCGCAAGCTCAGCTCGGAAATTCCGTAATCGCCTCGTAACTGGAGATCGTAAAACGACACGCGACGATTGTCCATAATTTACGCCTGATCTTCCGAGTGGTGTCCAATTACATCGAACGTGTAAATCAACTCGTTAAATCGCTCGTTATCCCTCGTTAATTAGTACCTACGTTTAAGTGAACGTATGAGAAACTGCAGTTTCGATCATTAGATGATTATTAACTTCCATCTAAACATAATCAATCGAAAGATCTTCTATATGAAATTACTACCTGAAAATACCTGGAAAACCGAATATAGCCTTGAATTACGATTCTTACCAGAGGTCGAATTGCAAACGGAAAGCTGAAAAGTAACAAATCAAATCACCCCTTTCCTTCGTTTACAAGAAAGAAACCAAGAACCACCGTAAAGGAATCCAAAAATATCCGCACCAGGATCTGAATATGAAAAGTTGAAAAAAAAAAAATGAAAAAAGTTGAAAAAGATCGAGCCACGAACCCGTAACCTGTCGCATCCGTTTCCCAACAGCTATGACGAATAAGCAAGATGAAGAAGCAATGGTAACAGAGTGAAAGAGAGAGAAAGAGAGAGACGAAGATGGGTGTCGTAGAAAAGTTGCACCCGGCACACTGCATCGAGAATCTCCACTCCTCTGAAGAGAAGAAGGAGCCAGAGGAGGGAGAAAAGTAAGAGGGATGGTGGCGGTCGCGACGCGGTGCGGCGCGGTTTCTGGAGTCGTCGGGACGCCGAAAATAGCGTCCCGATATGATGACGCCCGGAGCGGGCCGATCCTAGATTTCAGTCAGTTCGCAAGCTCGAAAGCTGCTGGGTACACGGATAAAACACTCTTGACCGGAACACCTTCATTTCCATAACGACGACCAACATCTCGCCATCACCCTATTCTTCTTATTTCTCTTCTTCTTCTTCTTCTTCTTCCTCTTATTTCTCTTCTTCTACTTCTCCTCCTGGACATTCTGTTCCTGGTTATCCAGTCCCGTTCACGGATCAGAAGTAGTATCTGACGGTATCGCGACCGAGCAACAGACTCGCGGAACAAGCTTTAAACGAGATGGCGGACGTAGACAGTGTAGTGTACACGACCACCGAGCGTAAGGTTCGCAAAGTGAAGAAGACGACGAAACGCAGGGAGAGCCACGATCAGAACGCCGAGGTCACGATCACCGAGGTCGACAGCACGCAGAACAACCACCACCACGCCATCGAAGAGTATGTGCTGGCTGCAGATGTGTTAGCTCGGATCAACCCCCAAATCATTACGTTACTTTTTCTTCTTCTATTTGTTTCTCTTCCGTATCAGCTTTTCCGTTTCCGATCGAGCAACACCCCACTCGCGAGATCTGCCACCCCGATGAACTCGCCTTTCCACGTGGATCCGTTGAATCGTGAAATATCGTCGTGAACGAATGGTGAAGGATCTGAATGGGTGGAAAAATCTTCTATTCTTCGACTCGGTGTATTTTACGTAACTTTCACTTCCGCGTTCGATCTTCCTACTTCTTCTTTCGATGCAATTTGCATTCGTTTCCTTAAAAACGGAAGGAAATATCGTTCAAGTTGGTGAAAGATCAACTGGTGACCCGTTCAATTCGATAGGGTACCACAGATTATCCTCTATTTCGTGATATTCTCAGCTTACGTGATTCAAAGTATCCACCGTGAGTTCGAGGTTCTTTAGAGTGGCAGTAGTCTCGAGGGACGCTCTTCTCTCACAGGGGCAAAGATACCCGTGAAATTCGTACGATACATGATTCTTTATTACTAATATGCTCCCGTACAATGAATACTCAGCCAGCACATACAACAGCACTCAACCAAGGTACATATTAAACCAGCGAACACAACGTCACCGAAAGAAAAATGAGAGAGATAGCAAGGAAGTTTTGTCGAGAAAAGAGAGAAAATAAATGGAGGCTGTGAGAGGAGCGTTATCAAAGATTCTAATTCTCTTCTTCGAACGATCTCCCGTCCAAAGTGATTCCGTTTCTTTCGTTTGATTCTTGATTTGGCTTTACTTTTACGATTCAGGGTATCGGGTCTACGAGCTGATCCACGCGACTGTTACAAGTCGTAACTCTTTTTCTTTCCCTGCATCATTCGTCTTTCGTCTAATTGCATCGAGGAAAGAGTTATAATTTCTAACAGTTCGCGTGGACCAACTTGTAAAAAGAGAAGCTTGTCGCGATGACGACGTTTTCTAAAACTCGTCGCGTTTTCCTTTGCAGTTGATTTTCAGTGGCGAGTACACGAAGGCGATGAACAAGGACTGGCACAGCGGCCACTTCTGTTGCTGGCAGTGCGACGAGTCTTTGACCGGGCAACGCTACGTGCTCAGGGACGAGCATCCTTACTGCATCAAGTGCTACGAGAACGTGTTCGCGAATGGCTGCGAGGAGTGCAACAAAATCATCGGTATCGACTCGAAGGTACGTATCGAATCTTCCCTTCCGTCATCGATTTTCAATAGATCTATCAGTGTCAATCGGAGGATTAATAAATTCAAACGCTAATCGATGGCTTCTTTGGAATAATTGGTTAAATGTCGTTTATAATCACGGGGACGAGATGGCGATACTTGAAGACGAGCATGGGCGTTGACTTACTCATTCCTAGAAATAGAAACGATGATGCAGGTACCTGCTATCTGCTTCGAGAGAACTTATTTCCGTTTCACGCCGCGGTTCTCGCCATTTGTTATTCCTCCAACAGTTGAAACGCGAACCATAGATTCCCACGAATTCCTTGAACAACACCGGTCACGCTCCTGATTTTTCCGCGAGTTTCTTCGTTTCGTGACAAATCGGTGTCTGCACGAGACGGGACGATTTATTCTATCTTCTTCTTTTTTTTTTATTTTCTTACACCGCAAACGAAAGATCCAAGGATTCCGCGTGCCTTCTCCTCCATCGAATGACACATCCGCGCCACTTAAAGGTCGACGAGTTCGCGATTATAATCGATCCTGAAATGGAAAGCCGCGTGATTTCAATACGATTGCTCGTCTAACGAATTCGACCAAACGTTTGAGTCCTTCGCGGTAGCAGAAAACTTTTCAATAAATCCTGTTAAATGTCTGCGTTTTTAAATTATTTGCCTCGCCTCAAGTGGAAGCAATTAATTCCTAATGTTCGAGACGTTTATGAGACAATTCGAATGTCCTTTTCCAGGATTTGTCGTACAAGGATAAGCATTGGCACGAGGCCTGCTTCCTCTGCAACAGGTGCAGAGTGTCCTTGGTGGACAAACAGTTCGGTAGCAAGGTGGACAAGATCTACTGCGGCAACTGCTACGACGCCCAATTCGCCAGCCGTTGCGATGGGTGCGGCGAGATCTTCCGTGCCGGTACGTAATTCACAGCTTTATTTTAATTTTTTAATTAACATCAAATAGGAAAATTATATTGGATTACAATGTCCAAAATTATCCCGACGCTCATCCCTGATCTATACAAACATCTGAACCACCTGTTTTCGATCCACAACCGCTGATTCACGATCTCGAATAGATATTATACACATTTCGCGGTTCAAGGCTTTGCCTCTACTCACGGTCGAATTTAAGCAAGGAACCGCTTGAACTCCTACGCTTTTTCAGAAAGATCTTTGAAACTTCTTAAAGAGTCAACGACCTTCGATAAAAGACGAGCCTTTCCTCCGCCCGTTGCCACGTGGAAAAGTTTATAAAAGGAACTCTCGGAAGTTTGAGAGATCAGAAAGGCGAGAAAGTGGGTCGAAAAAGGTTGCCGTGCAATTATGTCTGGTCGACCTTTTTCGCGACTCCGAACTCCTGAACGACTTGTCGCCTCGTAGCCTTCGACAATCGCAGACGGCGTGGTGAAACACAACACGACCTATATTGCCAGGTGATTCATGCTCGCCTCTGAGACTGTGCTTCGGGCCATTACAAGCAAATCATGCTAATTAACGCACCATACTCTATTTGTTCTCTGTTGAAGAAATTGAAAGTTGATCCGTCGAATCGTCGAAAGACGATATGGAAAGTTTAAACAGTTTCGAATATTAGGATAAAGTTAACATTCGTAAAGTATCTACTACTAATTACAATTACCGTTCGTAATAGAAGAAAAAGTCCGTTCGAGGGCAGCTACTGGCGCGGAAAAAGGAACTTGTAAAACGAGACGGTAATTCGGTCAAGTACACTGGTTAAAATAAAGCGATATCACGGCAAAAATCGAGGAACGAAACGAAAGATAGAAGCTACACGAAGACGTATGATCGATTTAACGAGGAAAATTCGTGTCTCTGATGGTTTCGAGTTAGATGGCTCGCGTGGGAGTTTCGTTAAGTCTTCGCTGAAACGAATAGCGAGAGGATCACCCGTGAAAATGACTCGGTGCCAGCTCGTGTCCGTATACGGATCGACCTTTCGAACCTCTATCAACTTGTGGAATCTAACTTGATGCATTGCGGTCGAACGTCGTGGAAAGAACGATTCGCTACACACCTGATAGATTGATTTAATCCTCCTGTAATTCCAAGCTCGATTAACTCTTCATTCCAGGATAATGCGATAAGCTATTGAAACGATCAACGTTATCCAATGTTTTATTTAAACGATTGCAGTCACCGCATTTTTAAGGAAAAAATTAAATGCGATTAAATCCTTTGTGCATCATATTCGAGCTTAGCAATCGTTTATCACGAAACGTGTCAAGATTCTCTTTTCAAACAAGGCGTGAATCATAAACGATTAGCCTTTCGTCGAGCGAAACAGATTCACGATGTTTTTTCCACATTTCCGAACCGCAACAATGAACGATCTTATCGAAAAGAAACCACGAACATTTGCAAATTTCAAACATACTAAAAGTATGTGCTTCTGTGCTAATTATGAATACGAATTAGTCGAAGAGCTCGTAGAAATCTTTTAGCAACTGCGTTTTAAACGACAAGTTAAATACAATACTCGTTTGAAGCAATTTTTCTGCTTTACGGTATATATTGTACCGTGTCTGACTATGCGTCGATATTTCTACTGCGGCCGCCCGCCTGAAAATATTCGCGAGTCTCCCAATCAATTCTCGTCACTCTTGTCGTAGGGGGCTAATTTTCAACTAAATTCAGCTGAGATTACACATGAAAATAGATAAAGAAGCAGCAGTTTCTTCAAAATGATTTGAAAAAAGAAAAAAAAAAAACAGAAAAAAGGAGAAGAAGCAAATTGTCGGACAAAGATATATGAAGTGAAGCAAACGGGACGCGTAAACATAAATACCCGCGATGCGAGTCTGGGTCTGTTGGAGCGGAAAGGCGAACTTATCAGCTTTAGTTGAAGACACGTTGCGCGTGCTCGTTCTGTGTACCGGTGACTCCAGCGAGCGTGCTGCCTTTGGAAGGCTTCAGTGGCTCGCAGAACTCCGGGCCAATCGCACGATCGACCGATTTCTTTCGTCTATCGTCTCGTATTGTAACGACGCGAACCTGTGTCGCACACCTTTCTCATCTTTCGTTTTCGATTAAACAAGAAATTAAAAAAAAAAAAATTTAATAGATCATAGCAGACACTTTTTTTATCTGAATGGAGATACTTGATCTCTCAGTTGTCTTTCAAATTCTTACCGTCGTTTGGTACGTAAACTAAAGCAACGCGTGTCGTCGCGATAGAGAAAATTCAGTGTTCTTGAAATATTGAAAAATGGCAACGGACACGTTGAGCGAACGATTGTCTAGCAAACTTCATTTGCAAACGAAGACAGTGGGTGAAGAGAGGATAAGAAGAGCGAAGGAAAAGGACGAGGATGTGGCGATATTCAGCATGTTCCCCATGGAGGGTGATCCTAAGTTCAGATGCTGTCTCGGCAAGGACTGTCTCTTAGGAGACCCGAAGAAAGCGGATCCAGGTGATTTTCTCTTCTCAATTGAATATATCGACAGGTGAATGGTTAAGGATTGCCTTCCATAGTGTTGCATCGACAGAACGAGTAAATTATTCATAATCAGTTAATAGGAAGATACACTGACGTTAATGGCATAGGTTGTTAGGATATATAGTTGGATTTATTAACGACAATGCATAATCGTCTCGAGCCCAAGGAGAGACCGTCTCGAGCCACGTGCTTGTATTTTCCGTCTAAAATAAAAGATTGCTTCATCTCGAACTCTGTTTATACGATTCCAAATAAGAAGCCGCATATATAATTAGAATTTCAAAAATAAGATAAATAAAATGAGAAAGTTCTTTGGAAGATTAGTACCATCATGAAAATTTCGCAATGTAGAATATAGAAATTTGATTTGATGTTGACGAATCGCACGGGAACTGAATGGAAACGCGGTGTCCGAGATTCAGGCTCGGTTTCATGGACGTTGCAAAAGCAGCTGGTGGACGCGGGGGCGTCGGATAAGGTTCCGTTCTCAAAGTTTTCCTAAGGTCGACATCGGCACGCGGATCGTGGGTCGCAACCGGCTCGCGGTATAAGCTATCCGATCGAACGCGGACAACCGGCAAACTTGTGAAAGATAAAAGAAAGAGAGAGGGAATCCGAAGGGAACCGCGACCTTATGTGGAAACACGAGCACGGCCACGCACTCGATTCTCCGTCGTGCCACCGTGATTCTACTAACGAACCCGTTAATTAGAAAATAACCAATCCAATAGGAAATCATCGATAACGAGGTTTCCTTAAAATTCCTAATCAATTTTTCTAGATTCGTTCATTCACGCATCCTTCACCCATTTACGAGGCATCATAGAAAATTTTTATTTCTCTCGTCTTAGTTGGTTTCTACGCGCAAAGAGATGTTGTTTTTTGCTAGTTTGCAGATAATTCGCAATGCAAATTTTTCGGACTAAACGAGACCCCAACGCGTGTGACAATATTTGCCGTCGGTGGTCGTCGGAGAACAGCATGGAATCCGCTGCCATATGATTAAATGATGTCATTTATCATTTATTTCGATAAATACGTGACAAAAAAGCTTTGCAAAGATGATTCATCCTCGTTTGAAATCGTAAACGAACGCTATTTTGGAAAAGCTACTTTAACCCGGTATTAATCGTGCAATGAAACGTGTTAAAGGTGGATTGAAAGATCAACAGTTCCGATTATCTAACCGAGAAAATGGAGTAATTCAGCATGGTTGAAAAATCATGCAGTCAGATAAGATGATCTATTAATAGGAATGATGTCATATGCACGAATGGACATTGGTGCATTAATATCAATCGATGCAAATAGACAAATTATCATCTTATCGCGGAACGATCTCTCGCGCGATAGAGAATGCGTCTATTTCTTCTGCAATTCTAAAGAACTCATAGGGAAACAAGGAAATCTATTTTATAATACTTTTACGCGACGAAACAATGTCTGACTTTCTATGTGTCGAAACTGGTCATTTAACATGCAGCTTGATGATAAATGAATGCAAAGGGTCGGTCGAAATTCAATCACGGGCGCAAACTTTTATGTAACATTTAAATTGCAGTTATGCAACGAACGGATGACTTAAAAACGGACCGGATGCGCGTGCCGCGTTGTTACATATTATATTTTTCAGTTGCACAACAAGGCCCGTTCCAATTCTTTGTCGCTGTTGCTGCAACAAAAGTTGCCTCGTGTGTTTTCTTCGCGAAATTCTCCTGGTACGTAACTGTTCTGCTCGTTGGCGAATTTATATTTAGAATTGACGCGCTCGAGGATCGCAGCTTCCGACGGATTAGCAAAGACCCGAACGATTCGACGCGTCGTAAAATTCGAAACGATCGGGTTAACGATTCCGCTGTTCCCACCTCGACGAGATCTTCGACCCTCCGCGTTCACGCCCACCGTTCGACGAATCCTCGATACTTAATCTGATCTTGTTTTCTAAATTTCAATCATTTTCCTCCGATTGAATCATCTCGTACGAATGCACACGCGTTACGATGCTTTGGAGGATCCCACTTTTATTCGTCCTTTAACCAAGGAAACATCGTAAAGGGAAGCAAAGACCTCGGCGAGGCGAGTGAAAAGGTCAATAGCAATTACGGGAGAACGAAATTATTCCTTATAAGCAGCGGACAAGAGTTTCAATGGCATTACTCGCCTAATAAATCGAATGGAAGGCGCGATTTTGCACGGCCGATCAGGCTTCTCGAGCGAGCACGAGCGGGTAACGCGAGATTACCACATCGTCGGCCTTGGACCATCAGACTTTATACATATACGGAGCTATTGCTCGGACAAAGTGATGTCACGAGCCTCCTTCTGACTCACGACGGACCACGAAGAGGAAATTAACCTACGAAAAACCAGCGATCCCTTCTTTCATCTCGTTAGACCGCCCGCATACCTGTCGCCACCCTTTCATATTCCCAGATATTCTGATACCATTAAAGTGGTGTAAAATGATCAGCAACTGGCAAGCATCGGTGACCGTCCAAAGGTGTCCGAATCGCGTAGTCCATGACTCACGGAATGGGTTTCGTCTTTCGTTCGATGTTATTTAGTTGATCGTGGATCCTATTAGATCATCTTTCGGAATAGCGAGTTGCCTCGGGCGCCTCGAACAGGGAAACATTACTTTCGTGAAAATGCAAAACATTCTAAATGGATTGAAAATAGCCATCGGTGCACTCGATTTCCTGAATATCAGGCTCGACTTTTCAGTCGAACGTAGAAGATTCGAAAAGTGGATGCACGACCACGCACGGATCGTTTCGTGACCATAAACACGATCTTCGTGACTAATCTCGGGACTGGTCCGTTTCCTTATGCAAAACGAAACACCATAGATGCTAAGCCGTGGGACTTTGAAATTGGATCCACAATGGGCATCCTCGCGAGGCCGGCAATTTCGTTGATCGGTGAATTACACGTTGCGATCGAGCGAACGAAACCGATCGATCGCTTATTGTTCTTCTTCTTTTCACGGCCAGGAGAAACGATTCGATGAAGAGGAACCGGGTCAGTCGGATACGCGAGACGAAGATTTCGCGTCTTTTTATTCTGCTGACACTTTGCTTTTCCTTTATGGGGCAATTAACATCGTCGATATTTAAAGTTTCACAAAAGAAGAATATTTTATTCACAAATAAAGGAACAACTAGATCGAACCGTTTTATGTAGGTCATTTACGACCGTGACTAGAAAGTCCTGCGGGAGAAACTTGAAAACCGCATTGCGGAAGATGACACCTATCTTAACCAACTTATCTGTCGGTTTTGTGAGACTTTTTGCACCTACCACGAAACTTTCTAACGTTGCCACGAACGATCGCTTTTCAGAGATTCTTGAAGAAAATATGAAAAAGGGATTTTTCACGGGAAGCTTGTATATTGTGGAGCGAGCAAACGATCTTCTGCCGGGAAATTCTTCCTTCGGGAATTGGCAAGTGTGTACACGCGAACCAAGGCGCCGCACGCGATTCGAGTCTAGACGCTAAAACACAGTGCGTTTTGCAACCCTCCGTTCAAACTTGCTCGCACCCTTGCGAATCTTACGATATTCCACCCTTCCGACCCTCCGTTGTGTAATTACTGTATGAATAATGAAACGCGCTTGCGTAATTTCGTCCGCGATACAGGGTTGATTTCAATATTCATTCGCAGCTGGCGTATCGAAAATATCGAACTGATTGTTCTTTACGGTTTCAGGTACCAAGAAGATGGAGTACAAGACCAGGCAGTGGCACGAGAAATGCTTCTGCTGCGTTGTCTGCAAGAACCCGATCGGAACGAAGAGCTTCATCCCGCGCGAGCAGGAAATCTACTGTGCCGGATGTTACGAGGACAAGTTTGCCACCCGATGCGTCAAGTGCAACAAGGTGACGTATCGCTTTTATTTTTCTAGGAAAAGATTGTTGTGCATCGGTAGCGATCACGGAGGACTTATCGTTTCACAGATTATTACTAGCGGTGGTGTGACATACAAGAACGAACCGTGGCACAGAGATTGCTTCACCTGCAGCAACTGCAACAATTCCCTGGCTGGCCAGCGATTCACGTCTCGCGACGACAAGCCTTATTGTGCTGACTGCTTTGGAGAACTGTTCGCCAAGAGATGCACCGCCTGCTCCAAACCAATTACTGGTACGTGTTCCTCGATTCCTTCGATGAATGAAAACCTATGCTCTGTGCCCTAAATACCACAACCCTTTAGGTTTCAAAAATCTTAGCTTGCGGGAAGATTCCTTCGATGAATACAAAACCCTTCCTGTACCCTAAATACCACAACCCTTTAGGTTTCAAAAATCTTAGCTTGCAGGAAGATTCCTTCGATGAATAAAAACCTATGCTCTGTGCCCTAAATACCACAACCCTTAAGGTTTCAAAAATCTTAGCTTGCGGGAAGATTCCTTCGATGAATACAAAACCCTTCCTGTACCCTAAATACCACAACCCTTTAGGTTTCAAAAATCTTAGCTTGCAGGAAGATTCCTTTGATGAATAAAAACCTATGCTCTGTGCCCTAAATACCACAACCCTTTAGGTTTCAAAAATCTTATCTTGCGGGAAGATTCCTTCGATGAATAAAAACCTATGCTCTGTGCCCTAAATACCACAACCCTTAAGGTTTCAAAAATCTTAGCTTGCGGGAAGATTCCTTCGATGAATACAAAACCCTTCCTATACCCTAAATACCACAACCCTTTAGGTTTCAAAAATCTTAGCTCGCGGGAAGAAAGAAATTTTCAAAAGGAAGAGATGTAAATGAGAAGCGTTCTCTTTCGTTTCACAGGTATCGGTGGCACTCGTTTCATCTCTTTCGAGGACAGACATTGGCATAACGACTGCTTCATCTGCGCGGGTTGCAAGACCTCGTTGGTCGGACATGGTTTCATCACCGACGGCGAAGACATTATCTGCCCCGATTGCGCGAAAATGAAGCTGATGTAAGGAGCTGAGAGATGGACAGAGATCGATCGAGCGAAGAGGAACGAGCGTGAAGAAAGGGGAAGGATATAGAATACCCTCTTTGCTAGGATTGTTCTCGAAACCGAGAGCAATCAAAGGACTCCGCTTCGAGAAACTATAGAAATGAAAAAAAAAAAAACGATTGTATCGATTTGAATCTAAATAATATGAAGATAAAAATTACCGTGTTTCTCTTTCATTATATTCTCGATAAATATACAGTTTGTTAAGGATGGTGTCTCGTACACTGGAAGCTTATTTAGCATTGTATAATTTCAACACGATAATAAATTAAATAATAAATAATGGACGAAACGCTTCTACTTAAAATCTAAAAACGAATCAGAAACTTTCTAATTCGACTAGAACCTGCCATGTGATTCCCTTTGTGAAAATTGATAATAAAAATAAAACAAAGAGAAATAAAGTGAACTATTTATATACGAACATTCATACGGTAGGTCCTAGTGTGTTTTTAGTAAATAAACTAATGCATCGTTTGCATAGAAATTATACGCTGTTAAATAACTTTCAACGAAGTTCTGTATAGGTGTATAGTCCGGAAACACGGTAATTTTGTTGAAAACATGGAAGATCCTGCTCGACGATCTCTTCGCAAACAACAGCGCTCTATTCACCGAGCTTTCTCGAAGCAGGGAACGCGAGCAGACACGGGGTATTTTCTAGCTTCGTAGTGTTTAGAGGACGTAGTCATTTTTCTCGTTTCGATGTTTCTGTTAACGTTGAAAGAAAGAAATAATCGTTAAACGGAGACGAAACGGGAAGAACACGCCTTCATCGAGAATCAAATCGCCTTAATTTGTAATTAACCGTCGTCGGGCTGTTACACCGTGTTAATTAGAAGAGACGAAGCTACGTACTGTCGTTATTGTTTTTTTTTTTCTTTCGCTTTGTACAATGGTAGAGAAACGCGCGACGACGATGGAAGAATTCGCGCGAACAAATAAACGGATAAAAGATGGATCCTATATATATATATATATATCCTTATGGAACTAAATTTGATATACATACGATAATGTTATTTTTATTTAACTTAAACTCACATACACGCGCGCGAGTGAATAGTCATACTTACACTAAACCGACACACGTACCAATGTACACATCTTTCTTTTTCTCTCCCTTTCCCTATGGCAACGAATAAATTAACCCCGTACGATACCTTAAAATTTATCACAACTTAAGAGAATTAAATTGTCGGGGCTTAATTACTGACACAGAACGCGTTAAATAATTGATAAACTCTGATGTTATAAAGCAAGGGGTTGAAACGTAGAGTTCGAGTGCACCGTTGTGTGAATCGTTCCTCTTTAAAACTTCTCTAAATTTTGAAGACTTAAAAATTTGTTTACAGGCACCCAACAAGTGTCTTTGAAAACCAAGAATCTATCAAACGTGCATTCGAACTGAAAAATACGCGTTACTCGCATGTGCGATATTGAGAATCGAGTTTCAATCCCTATCAATCGTTTTCTTGAATTTTTCTCGATTTTTAAAAACATCAGACTCACTCACACTTAACATACACGAACACATACGCCAGAGTGTGCAAACACGCACACGCGGACGAAACACTAATTGTGGCCTTATCCGCACGAGTACGTAGGAGGAAAAGCAAACGCAAAGTTACGAAAACAATTATCATTACTGTGGTACATGACAGAGATTTATTCGTGGTCTAAAAAAGGAGGTGAACACGGGCGTGCAAGGAAATAAAAACGAGCGCAGAAATAACGATATATCGTACCTCTTTATAAGAATAAAAAAGAGTAAAAAATATCGCATTGAACGAAAATGAGAATCAACGTGACACGACCAATAATAAATTACACGTGCTATATAAATATATATAATATATGTTCTTACCGATCACTCACATACTAATCGCCTTAATTAGTAAACGATAAAAGAGCAGAGATTATTCTATATTCAGCGTACCGTATACACTGTTATACTGTAAAATTGATAAATAAATAAATGTAATTATTTACGAAGAGCTTTATTAATGTTATTAAACCAATTCAATGCTCCAGACTCCCTTGCACGCGGCCCAAGTAGAAGCCGGCACCGGGTGCGACCCCCGGTGTCGGCCACATGCTAGTGTCGGTCGCCGTGGGGTTGTAGTTCGTAGGAATCTGACACTCCCCCGCCGCCCTCCACCAGAGGGTCTTATGCAAGATTTCCCCTTGATCAAAAACAAAAAAGAAAATCCTTTACATCTCTGCTTTCCTTACATCCCTGTATTCCTTACATCCCTGCATCCCTTACACCCCTGCATTCCTTACATCCATGCATCCCTTACATCCCTACATTCCTTACAACCCCGCATTCCTTACATCCCTGCATTCCTTACATCCCTACATCCCTTACATCTCTGCATTCCTTACATCCCTACATCCCTTTTATAAGCATCCCATCATAGCGCCATCTGGTTTTTGAAAAAGGAACTAAATCAAGCAGACATTTTGGCCCTCTAGCGGCAAAAATGTGAACTAAAATCTAGACCTCGAGTCAGCGCCATCTGGTTTTTGAAAAAGGAACTAAACTAGGCAGAGATTTTGGCCCTCTAGTGGCAAAAATGTGAACTAAAATCTCGACCTCAAATCAGCGCCATCTGGTTTTTGAAAAAGGAACTAAACCAAGCAGAGATTTTGGCCCTCTAGCGGCAAAAATGTGAACTAAAATCTCGACCTCGAATCAGCGCCCTCTGGCGGCAAAAAAAGGAACCAAATTTTGCAAAAATTTAAATTTAAAATTATTTTTTACGAGAGTTTACTTACCTTTACTTACCATTACTTACCTTTACTCGAATCAGTGGCCATAAGTATATCATTTATAATATATTAATTATAAGGGTTGAAAGGATACAAGAGATGCAGGGAGAATTCAGGAGTGTAAGGGATACAGAGATATAAAGGGTACAGAGATGTAAGGGTTACAGGGATATAAAGGGTACAGAGATGTAAGGGGTACAGAGGTGTAAAGGGTACAGAGATATAAAGGGTACAGAGATATAAAGGGTACAGAGATGTAAGGGATACAGAGATATAAAGGGTACAGAGGTGTAAGGGATGCAATGTAAGGGAGGTTCCAGCAATGTTGCGGTTCTGGGGTGTTAGGGACCCCGGTGCATCGGTGGTGCTCTCTGTATACCGGCCTGATATCGTCTTGGGGTGTTAGGGAGCACTAAGTACTCTGTATACCGACCTGATACCATCTTGGGGTATTAGGGACCCCTAAGTACTCTGTATACCGACCTGATACCATCTTGGGGTGTTAGGGACCCCGAAGTAGTATGTATACCGACCTGATACCATCTTGGGGTATTAGGGACCCCGAAGTACACTGTATACCGACCTGATACTATCTTGGGGTGTTAGGGACCCCGAAGTAGTATGTACACCGACCTGATACCATCTTGGGGTATTAGGGACCCCGAAGTACACTGTATACCGACCTGATACCATCTTGGGGTATTAGGGACCCCGAAGTACACTGTATACCGACCTGATACCATCTTGGGGTATTAGGGACCCCGAAGCACTCTGCATACCGACCTGACAACATCCGGGGGTATTAGGGACCCCGCAGTACTCTGCGTGCCGATATTACGGTATCTGGGGTATCGAGGACCCCAATGCAATTGTGGCGCTCGCTGTACACCGACCTAGTATCTTCTTGGGGTGTCAGGAACCCCAGCGACTCTCACTGCGTACCGACAAAATATTATCTTGGGGTTTCAGGGACCCCTGTGAATCTTTGCGCACCGATGCAATACCATCTTGGGGTGTTAGGAACCCCGGCGACTCTCACTGCGCATCGACAAAATATTATCTTGGGGTTTCAAGGACCCCGGTGAATCTCGGCGTACCGATGCAATATCATCTTGGGGTTTCGGGGACCCCGACAACTTTCTGCACAACGACAAAATATTATCTTGGGGTGTCAGAGACCCCAGTAACTCTCCCTGCGCGCCGACAGAATATCATCTGGGGTGTCAAGGACCCCGGCGGAAACTTTGGCTGCTTTCCGTCAGATGGCGCCAGTGTTTCCTAGGTTCGAAAAATTCATCGATAAATTATCGAGTAGTTTCAGCTGTTTTGGTATAGATGCCGCGGGGGTGGAATCACAAAAATACATCGATGGTCAGCCTGTTGCATTGCGAAGTGTTTCACCTCTTTAGCAATCTGTAATCACTAATTTTGCCGCTTGCCACTGGATGGTGTCAATGGTACTGTTTTCGAAGAGCGCGGTTTGATATAAAGATCAATAAATCGAAAAGATGATTCAATTATAAGTTAGCAGTAACTTACGCTAATTTAAAACACAAATTAATATAAATTAAGTCTGAAAAGATTATAAGGAACAATATAATGATCTTACCTGAAGTTATAATAAAATAAAGTAGGAAATAACTTGAGAAAACATTACACCTTTCATGGAGAACAAACTTAGCACATACCATTCCAATTGAAACCGGATGTACACATGCAGTGCGTTTGCGAAATAGAAGAATCGTTCGAAACGAAGTAAAACAGAAGTAACTGTTCAAATCGTTTCGCTCGCGGTTTTCTTTTCCGCTCAAAGCGAGAGCTCGAGCGTATAACGGGGCATACTTTCCCGTAGGATTTTTTCCCCCGGTTATTACAGCCGGACTAGCATCGCTCGACAGCAAGGTCGTGTTGTCGAAGGTTATTCGAGAAGGTCGATGACCCACCCCTCGTCAATGTCATCGATCCCATTAGGAAACCCTTTGAACCCCTTCGATACAGAAAGTATACACAATCTCAAAAAAGGGAAGAGAATTATTGAAAAATTTGTTAAGATATCCAATCGATAAAAAGGGACAGCTTAAGATATCAACAGTTTGTATGATGAAACGTGCGAGACATTAAACGCTTAACAGTTAGTTTGAAAATGTCATGAATCATGGTTTGAACAGAAAGTCGCCCAATTAAAACACGTTGTAAAACGAGCGTCCACGCCACGCCAATTAACTTTACGTCGCTATGCCGAACTGGCATTTTCGTAAAAACCGCAAACGTAACAAATTGGTCCACCAAGCGCAACGCGAATGAATCGTTTTACATAACAGCAGGTAGTTTGATTTGAAAAAAAAAAAAAAAAATTACCACCGTTTCGTTGCGGTTCGTTCCTCCGCCAATGTGTACTCTTTACATTTTACAATTTCTCAAAATTGTTGCTAAATCTAAGAAAGAAAGATGGGGCAATTTAAAATCGGTATAGAATCATTTTGGAAAGCTTCAAGTTGAGAAAGGAAAAAGAATGAAAATGGAATGCTGCAAAATCCGACGTACTCAATGAATGGAGTTTAATTAGTTGCAGGTACACGGACGTCTCACACGTGCTGACTGCGTACTGCGAGTCGAGGTGAAGCGAGGTCGATGGAAAGTGGCATAATCGCGGATGTGGATCGGTTCAAGGAGAGCAGAAGAGGAGATCCTTTACCTTACTTATGTAACGAGCAGTCGCCGTGTGTCTCGTGTCTTCGACCGCGTCCCGAACACACCAGACTCTCCCTCTTTCTCTCTCTTCAGCCCTCCCTTCTCTTTTTCTTACCGCCCCTGACCTCCCTGATCCATCGACGTGCTTCCTGTGACCGGTGTCCCTGAAAATCTCTCCTTCTTATTGGGTCGACGCCGTTGCAACTCGCACCCTTTCTCCATCCAATTGATCTCTGATTTTTCCACCACAGATAAAGGGATATTTATTGAATTTAAACAGAAATGAATTTCATCATTTTATTTCCTTTCTTTGATAAACTTCGATTAATAATTTGCTCGGTCTCCTCAGAATCCTGTTCCTTTGTCTGCCTACGTCTTTTCTTCACCCTTCAACTTCCTTCTCCTTCGATGGGT